AAGCACATCATGTGGTGTAACTTTCCCCGTCCCTCTCTCCCCCTGCCCTCTGCAATGCCCAGGGTGTGGTGCAGCAGCCTCAGGCTCAGGGCAGGTGAGGTGCAGTCCTTGGTGCAGACAGGTTGGACCTGGGCTATCTCAGTGCTGGCAGCCCTGGCTCCAGGTCTGTGCAGGTGCAGCAAGACCTGGATCATGTCCTCAGTGATGCCCAGGGACAGGGAATGTTTCTTGTGTGGCTTGGGTGAGCCCTCTGCAAAGCCTCCATGAGCTCTCTGGGACGAGAGGAGACTGGGGATGTCCTGGCTGACCTGGAGTTCCTGCAGCCTCAGTGAAGGTGATCAAACCCACAGGGACTTTCCCCTCCCTTCTTGGGCCTCTCTCTCAAAGCATCAATTCAGGAGAGTATTTATCATGAGTTTCCAAAGAAAGAAATCTGTAACAGATCTTTCTGAGAAAAAAGGAAGAAAATCTTTCTTCACTCAAGGATCTGCTCCTTACCTTTTGCAGCACGCAAGGCCAGGTGAACATCTTCCCACAAAACTTGTACCCCGGGGGCAAATACGCCTAGTGCAGAAGCCTCGTTGTTTCCAGCAGCTAGTTGCACTGCCTGTTCCCATGGGGAAGGATGCAAAGAGAACAATTAAAGTAATAATCGGAGAGGGCAGAGAGTGGCTATAGACAGGTTGATGCTTCCTGGTGCTGGTGCATTTCAGGAGAAGAGAAGGGCTCATTTCCAACCTCCTCCCAGTCAAATTTCTAACTGCAATGTTTCTCACCTGGAAGGTCCCTGTAGCCCTAAAGTGAGGGCACTCCTGAGCAGAGAGTGGAAAGGACCAACGTGAGGTCGAGGAAGAGCCGTGCTGACTCCCAGCTGCATTCCCATCTCAGCACAGCTGGCAGGCAACATTCCACATCCCCAACCCACAGAACAAACCAGGATTCTGTTTCCATGGGCTCTCTCCAGCCCAAATTGGTGTCCATTTCAAGAAACCTCTTTCACCTCAGTCCCCTGTTACCTTCTCATCACCCCCACAAACACGGTCACTTCCAGGGACTTTGAATTGCCCCTGGTGCAGGTTTACACTTTCCCCATTTCCCCTCTTCCCTCTCACCTGCAGCACCCTGGGCCAACAGGAGGATCAGGGGGAAGAGCAGGAACAGGATCTTCATGGCTGCTGCCTCTCCTGGGTCTTCACAGGGCTGCAGAGGGGACACCAAGGCAATGGGGCCATGCAGGGCCCTGTGTGGGCAGGATTCTGGAAAGAGACCCCGCACTCACCTGCCTGGAGAAGTTCTGGGTGTTGAGGCAGCAGCAAACCCACCAGGAATGGCTGTGTCCAGATGCCCTTGGGGCCAGGGAATGCTGCTTTGCCCCAGACAGGCTGGATTTATAGCAGTGCTGGTGGGTGGGACAGGCCCCAGTTGCTGCTGGCACAAGTGGCCTGGGCCAACCCAGGAGTGCCCCGTGTGTGTGGGGGTGCTGGGGCTGGCCCTGCTCCCTCCCTGCTGCAGGGGCAGGGGCTGAGGTGCCTCCTGGGGCTGTTGCAATCAATGTCACCGTTGTCCCCATGCAACCTCTTGTGACACCCATGGCACAGCAGCAACGGGCTGGGCAGGAGAGAGATGGGATGGACACGACAGAGAGGGATGGGATGGACATGGGAGAGTGATTCATGCTGAGAAGAGCAGAAATGAGGAAATGGTTTGCTTCTTTGCATCCTCTCATTTTATTGATATTATAAATACTCGGAGTGGGATGTGGAAGATCTGACTGAATATTGCAAAACCTGCTCAGCTTTGTATGGTGAATGGAAAGATTTACCTCTCCTTTCACTTCAACAGCCTTGTCTGGGGAGATTGGAAATTAAAGGGAGAAAATAAAATTTCATGCGCACTTAAAAAAAGGTCTTCCTCTGTCTCATTAAGGACTTTTGGGTTAGGTTCTTTTTCCCCTTGAACTGAAGACTGGCGAGAGGGAGGCAGTTTTCTCTTGTTCGGTCTCAGTTGTTTATTCTTTCCTTATCAGCATTATAAGGCACAAGGAGCTATGTGCACTATGATAGAAAGGGGAAAAAGGCTAACAAAAATTCTTTTCAAGGTTTTTTATATGTCCATTTACCCAATTAACAGATGCCAACTAAATTATTTTTCTTAGTGACCCAATGACCCAGCATTCCTCCTTTTCTCCCTCTTGACTTTTCTGTTCCCCTCTGTGCGCTCTCAGAAACCCATGAGCTGACTTTGCACGCCATCAGTCTGGATCCAATGGATCCAGCATCACAGATGTTCTGGGCCAAGGAGCCCCTGGGCTGGGGGAGCAGCTCGGCAGTGCAGGGCTGAAAAGAGCTTGTGATGGCAGCTCTAGTGTCAGTGCCAGGAAAGGTGATCACGGGGAAAGGAATGGCCATTGCAGGCATGGATGATTGGACAGCCATCACCAGATTGTCTAGTTCAGGAAAGGAATGGCAGTGTAAACATTTTTTGGGGTCAGGCTCTTCAGCCAGGTGAAAATGAACGAGTAGAAATGGTCTAAAGTAGTAGCAGGGAAGGAATTAGTCTAGGTATGAGGAGTAATTTCTTTGTAGGAATGGTGATGATGTTTTGAATGTGCATGCCCGTGGTAGTGGTGGAGTCGCCATTCCTGGATGGAATTTAAAAGCTGTGTGGCTGTGGCATTGTGCACATGGTTTAGTGTTGGTTTGCTAAG